GCAGGTAATATGTTGGTCCCCCCGCCGCCCCTGCCGAAAACAAATGCAAAGTGATCGCGGGGCGTCCGTGTATGATCCAGATTTGGGTGCAAAGAGCACTATGTACGGTTTTGGGCAAGGGATGGATGGGAGGTGTCTGCGTTGCACAAAGCAGGCAAAATGCCGCCCCCTCGCCGTCTTTATCAATGTATACGAATTTGGAGCGGTGGTCAAGCTACCCCCCATAAGGACGACCGTCGCGCTCATTCCCACCCGTCTTCCCACCACATAAATCGCACTCGGGTCTCAGCATGGACAGGGACTGCCATCGACCATCATCGGGAATCATTCCAGACGCCAGCCAGGTGTCGCGACGCAGTAGCGTGCAGCAACCTTCAATTGGACGTCAGTTAAGCGTTGCCCACCGTCACTTAAAGGCAACTGACGGTCAGTTGCCTTTACCGTCCGGTCAATTAACGGTATGACTGTCACTTGAAGGTAATTCCCAGGTGGTGCAGGGGGCGGGGTTGGGGGCGGGGCGAAGGCCGATTTAGCTCTAACACGCCGTGATGGTTGTCAGTTAAAGGTAGCTGGCGGTGAGTTACCTTCACATGCCCGCTAGTCAAAAGGTAGTGGATTGACAGTTAGATGCTTTGCACTGGCCGTCTGTTAAAGGTAAGTGACCGCGGTCAGTTGAAGGCGACTCACTGTCAGTTACGTTTCTTCGCTTTGAGCTAAAGGTAACTCACTGCGAGTTACCTTGAATTAAAGGTGACTGGCCGTCAGGTAGTTCACGACACCTTGGTCAGTTAGTTACAGGGGCCTCACCGTCGAGTTCTGTCAGTTGACTGCGCAATACTTTACATTGCATTGGCCGTCAGGTAAAGGTAGCTCACCGTGGGGTCAATGGCGGTCATTACTTTCCAACTGGCCGTCAGTTCACCGTGAGTTACCTTGAATTGACCGGTGGGCCACATTTTTATTGATCGTCAGGTCTTTGACCACCAGTTAAAGGTAGTTGTTTGGTGTTTTGTCACGGTCTGCTATTTCTAATTGACGGTCAGCGAAAGGTGATTTCCGTGTTGGTCGCGGGCAGGGCTTTGGGGGGAGGGGAGGCGCGATGGCCGCCGAGTTACCTATGACCCGGCGGGTGAGTGACTTCGAACTCACCGTCAGTTGTTGTTATCACTGATGGTCAGTTGAAGGTAGCTGGCGGTGACTTTCTTGAGGATCGACTGCAGTTACCTCCAACGGACAGTCATTTTAAGGTCTTTGAACGCAGTCAATGAAAGTAGTTGGCTACCAGTTAGTTTTAACTGACTGTCACTTGAAGGTAGTTCACCGCAAGGGAAAGGTATCTCAGGGTCACTTACATGTATTTGACAGTCAGTTACAAGCAGCTGTTCGCGATCAGTTACAAGTAAGGCATCGCTTTTTACTTGTAGTTGACGGTACGTTACCTTTAATTGGCGGTCAGTTTTTTAGAAGGTGAATTCGCGGTGGGGCAGCCGACCGGGGTGGAGATCGAGTTATTTGTAACCCGCCTGCTGAGTCACGTTCCGCTGGCCGCGAGTTACAGGTGACGTTCAGTTACCTTTTTCTGACGGTGAGTTTCCTGTAACTGTCTGACTGACCGTCCGGTACAGAAATTTCGCCGTCGATGAATGTCAGTCGCGGCGGCACAGTGACTTTTAGCTGACCGTCAATTTCTCTTAATTGACGGTCTCTTCAAGGTAAGTAACTCCCTGGTTGGTGGGGGGGCGGGGTGGGGGTTGGGGTGGAGGGCGAGTCTCTTGTCATTCGTTTTGTGAATTACCCTTGCACTTACCGCCAGTGAAAGGTAACTTGCGGTCAGTCGTAGGTAATTCACCTCATTGACCGCCAGTTGCATGAATATGCCCAGGGGTTGGTTACCTTCGAGTCTCCTTACATTCGCTGTCGTTTACCAGTTACAGGCAGCTGGCGTGTGAGTCACCTTTTCACGGGCCGTACAGGTACAGGTAGCTCCCATGTTGGGCGGGGGACTTGGTGTGGGGCGCGACGGAGGCCGAGTGATTTCTAACTGTCCTGGTGAGTTACCTTGTGCTGGTCGTCAGTTAAAAAATGTCGCAGTCCGCGGTCAACGAAAGGTAACCCACCGTGAATTGTCTGTAGCTGGTCGTCAGTTAAGTGTCATCGGCGGGTGAGTTACTCTTAGCCCACCGTCAGTCTCGTACAAAGGACCGTCAGTGTTCAAGGTATCTGGCGGTGGGCTGCTAAAGGCAAACGACGCTGACGGTCAATTGAAGGTATCTGACCTCGGGATGATATCATTGATTGACCGCTGATGAAAAAAACGTATATGGCTGTAAGTTACGTTTGACTGACGGTGCGTTACCGTCACCTGTCCGTCAGTTAGAGGCAAGTGGCCCTGGTCAGCTCAAGGTATCTAGCCGTCAGTTACTCGTAACGAAACTCAATTAAAACGTATTTGAATTGACGGGTGCGTTACCATGTCACGGTCCTTTAAAGGTAACGTTCCCCCGATTACTTGTAAGTGACCGCCGGTTGAAGTTAGTTGCCCGTCCGTTGAGGGTAATTGGATGTCATGTGCATGCAATTAATTGGCAGTGATTTATCTTTCCTTAACCGTGGTCACTTATGTGTGGCTCTGTTTCCTTTAGCAGTCAAATGTACACTACCGGCAGTTACCTTGATTGACGGATGGGTTCCTGCTAACTGACCCTCGGATGTATTCGGCCGTCAGTTAGAAGGTAACTGACGGGTGAGTTACCTTAAAGTGAACGTCGGTTATTATGAACGGACGGTCAGTTAAGGAACATTCCCAGGCGGGACTGGGGACGGGGTGGGGGGCAGGGCGTGGGCCGAAGTACTTCCAACCCGCCAGTTGAGTCACCTGTAACTCACCGTCATATACCTTCAACTGACCGTCTGTTACCTTCAGCACCCGTCGTTTTTTGTTATTATATAGAAAGGTAGCCAGGCCGCCGCTAGTTGAAAAGTAATTGACGGTCCGTGACCGTTTTTTTATTACCAGTTAGAGGTAATTGACCGCGGCCACTTACACGTAACTGGATTTCAGTTATTTTTCAGCTGATGGCAAGCTCATCGTAAACGACAGACAGGTACCTCACCGCCACCCAAATGTATTCTGCCGTCAGTGAAAGCAAACTTGCCCGCGAGCTTCTCAGAGTAATTCTCAGGTATCTGAACAGGTCTGACTTTGCGATACCTTTAACGGGCGGTCACAGTCAAGGTAACTAACCGACATTTTCTTTCGACCTGACGGTCAGTGCAAGGTCGCCCAGGGAAACGGGAGGGGGGGGGGGTGGGGCATAGGCCGAATTATTTCAGGTGAGGCTAGAGCATTGTCACTTACCTCTGAGTTGCAAGGTGGTCAAAGGTAGCTGACCGTCAGTTACGTTACAACGACTGTCATCGTATCTGACCGCGTTTAGTTACATATGACTGGCCGTCATATTCAAAAAGTAATAGACGGCTGGTTTTGATTACATTTTCACTGACAAGGTAGCTCACCGTCAGCTGAGGGTAACTGACCGCCAATTACATGTAGTCCACCGCCTATTAAAGGTAATTGGCGGTCAGTTGCCTCCAACTGAGCGACAGTGCAAGGCAACTGTGGGGAACACCTTGGTCGTCCCTGCCGCAAAGCCAATGCATAGTGATCGCGGGGTGCCCGCGCATGATCCAGATATTGCCGCGACGTGCAGTCTGTATTGTTTTCCGGCAGGGGTGGCGGCCCTGCGCGCCGTCCTTTTCAAACAGCAATGCGAAGTGTTCTCCTTCCCGAACATGACCCAAGGTTTTGCCGCAACGTGCATTTTGCGTTGCTTTGGGCCACGGGTGGCGAGGGGCGGTCGGGTGGGGGAGGGCGTGTAGATCAATGGGGACCAGTGAGCAGGCTACACCTCTTCCGGAGGTCGGCCGTTACGCTATCCTCACTCCCACTCGCACTCCCGCCACAGAAGTGGCACTCGAGTCTCAGCATGGGCAGGGGCCGCCATCGGCCATCATCGGGAACCAATGCAGACGCCAGCCAGGTTGTTCGACGCCCGTAGGTGCGCCGCGCGTGCCAGGGCTCCCCCCCGTCCTCGTCAAAAAGAAATGCGACGTGATCGTGGGGCTGCCGCGCACGATCGTTGCCAGAAGCTGTGTGTACTGGTGCTTTCGATGGGGATGATGGGCCTGCGCTCAGCAGGCAGTATGCCCCCCCCTCGTCCCTGACGACAAACAATGCAACCTGCTCGCTTTGTGCCCGAGCATGGTGCAGATGTGTCCGCAGCGTGCACGGTTGGGCTGGGATGATTGCGATGTTGTTTGGTTCCGCGTTTGACCCCGACCAGGGTGGGGGCGGGGGTGAATATTCAGCAGGAGCAGCGATGAGCCTCTCACAGAAAAGGAACACTCTAAACCACCTCAACCCAGAGGGCTGGTGGGATCTCAGCCTCGTCCGTGATCGTTGGTCATGGTCATCATCGGCATCGGCAACGTCATCATCGGCATCGGCATCGTTGTCGTCGTCGTCGTCGCCGTCGCCGTCGTTGTCGTCTTCATGACAGCCTCGCCCAGCCACGTGCAGGGGGGTGTATGGGGGGGGGGAAGGCTCCTAAGAAGCAACCTCTTTCTAAGAAGCCTTCCCCCTCCCCCTAACCTCTCGCTCTTTGCCACGTCGTTGTCGTCAGAGTCGTCTTCCTCCCTGTCGTCGTCGTCGTCCTCGTCCTCATCCTCGTCCTCGTCCTCGTCCTCGTCGTCGTCGTCGTCGTCCTCGTCGTCCTCGTCCTCGTCCTCGTCCTCGTCCTCGCCGCCGCCGTCGTCTTCGTCGTCGTCGTCCTCGTCGTCGTCCTCGTCCTCGTCCTCGTCCTCGTCCTCGTCTTCGTCTTCGTCGTCGTCGTCCTCGTCGTCCTCGTCCTCGTCGTCGTCGTCGCCGTCGCCGTCGCCGTCGCCGTCGCCGTCGTCGTCGTCGTCGTCGTCGTCGTCGTCGCCGTCATCACAGCCTCGCTCTTTGCCGCCCCGCGTGCCCGCCGAGGTGCCGCTGCTGCTCCTGCTGCTGCCCACGCTCCCGGGCGCCACGGGGCCCCAGGCTGCCATGGGCGGCGGCCTTCCTCGGGCAGCGCTTGGATTCAAGCAGTGGCGAAGCGTCCTGGCTTGCTTATATCGGAGGTGGATAGACCTCCTACCCTGACACGTCGATTAAGGAATTGGCCGTTTTCGGTTCGCGAAAGGGCGTCGCGGCCGTCCTTCTTGCGGGCCCAGGTCCGTCGGTTTCGGTCCCAGGCCGTCTTCACTCAGGGGAGGTCTACTAATGGGAGGTTTGTCCACTGCCGATTATAACCTATAAGCCCACAAAAGAATGTTCTGATAGCCTTTTGTGTATGCACGACATGTTCTTAGAGCATTTCTGTGGCTGAGACCGTCTTGTTTTAGCACATCGGCCTTCTGCTCTAAGAGCCTGGCTTCTGTTCTTAGAGCACCCTCGGGTTCTGAGAATGTTTCGCGGTTTGTCCCTCCTCAGCAGACTGGGGCCACCGTCCGAGGAGGAGATCGATTGCAGAACTGGCTTGCCCTCACACATCGGCGGCGGCGCCGCGCGGATCGTTCAACCCTGAGGGGTCGGCGGCTTTCCGCTCGCCAGAGCGTTCCATTCGGGCCAGTTCTGGGCCGCTGGCACCGTTCAGCCTTGAACGCTCGCGGCGGGGTCACTGCCGCACCGGCGCGACACGGGTCTGCTGCAGGGCTCCGCTGCGGCAGGGCGCGTGCCCGCGCCCAAGAGGCCGCGGCGAGCCCACGGGAGAAGGAAGAGGGGGCGGGCCTTCTCGAGAGGCTCGACAGGCCTCGGGCCTGCCGAGAAGTCATCTGAGCCCTCCCCGGCGGCACAGAGCACCCGTCAGAAGTCCAGAGGGCTTCTGACAAGCCCTGCCGCCTTCTGAGAAATCCTCCTCCTTCGCTCGCCGCCGCCGAAAACATGTTCTTTTGTTTGCTGAATCTACAGAACGTATACCGAATGTTTGTAGATCTAAGGAAGTTCAACGTCTGTCTTTTTGTTCGCGGCTTCGGCGAAAATACTAATGTTGGGGTAAACCTAGTCAGTGGTCGATCTCCTACTCGAACCGTCGGCGACACGCAAGGGTGACCTTTCGCTGGAGTACCTTTCGTGCGGGGCTACGGGCAACCCCCGACGGTGAACGAGATGCGATAGCGGCGGCTCCCGCGCGCGGGGTTTTGGCCCCCTCGCACCCACCTCCCTAAAGCAGCGCACCAGAGGTCGCTCTTCCCTAAGGTCACTCTTGCGTGTAGCCGACGCCAGCACGGGGGTGACCACCACTCGGCACGAACGCGATATGGGTGCGGAAGGGACGTGGGCGACGACCGACGGCAGCTCGTTCCCGTTTTGCACAGGATCCGTTGTCGCGTTGTCGCGGGCGCTGTCCATCTGAGACAGAGGGCCGCCTGCCCAACAGCGGCCGCTGTCGGTTTTGAGCAACCTCTGGTGTTGGGCATCGCACTCGTTTTGTCCGTGCCCGCTCCGAGCGTCCAGAACCACCAGCAGAGTCCTCTCTTGTCGTCCCTCTTCCCCTCCCCTCTTTCTAAGTTCTAGTTTTGCGGTGGCTCCTCCAAGAATCAGGAGGAAAATAAACACACAGACACAATTAATCCTCGATTTCCCAGAAAATATTGCAAAATATGGGAAGTGGGCGGGAAGACAGAAACCCAGAAAATATAGGAAAATATCGAAATAATTTTCTTTGTGTGTATTTATTTGTGTGTCCTGGGGCTCCTCCAAGAAGGACGCATTGGCCAGGCCTCATACTGCTTGCGATGGCTTCGCGCCGCGCCAGACGCGGCGTCCGCAGGGGAGGGCCCTCGCCAGGTCGGCTCCGAGGCCCCCCTGGTTTGTGCCTTCGGGTCGCAGCCTGACTGTATGACGGCCTCCTGGAGATCGAGCATCGAGGAGGAGGAGGAGGAGGAGGCATGATCGACAAGGGCGCCCTCGAGGGCGCGAAGTTATTCGCGCTTCGCGCTTCGTGGTTCGGCTCCGATTCCTCCTCATCCTCCCCTCCTCCCCTGGGAGGCGGCGCGAGAGCGCGAAGTTGTTCGCACTTCGCGCTTCGCGCAGCGCGAAGCGCGAAGTTGGGAGCCCTTGGATCGAGGATCGACCAGGTTTGGGACGTTTTTTTGGGCGTCTTGAGAGAAAGTCCAAGGGGGGGTCCCGGGGGGTCCAGCTGGGCCCCTTTTTCGGAGGAGGTGGCGACCCTCTCAGTGGTGACCCCCCTTGGCGTTGCGCCGCTTCCAATTGCTCCGATCCTGGACTCAAGATGCAGGGTCCATGTCGTCGTCGTTGTCGTCGTCGTCGTCGTCGTCGTCGTCGTCGTCGTCGTCGTCGTCGTCGACAGCCTAGTTTTTCTGGCGTTCCCGTCGGTTCCTGGACGTTTGCCTGCCTCGGGGCGCGTTCCAGCAGCCGCGCCTCGCCGAGAGCGTTACGGGGGTGCCCGGATCGTCCCGATCGGCCGTTGGAGGCCCGAGATATGGCCCGACAACATGTGGGATCGCCGCAGGGTTCATTCCGATGTCGATTCCAGCCGGCCCCGATCCGATTCATCGCCGACGTTCTGGCGATCCGATGCGGCCCGATGTTTGCGTGGCGATGTTGTGCATGCTGGCGCCAGCGATATTCGATCCTGGCTCAGGGCCGATGCAGGCCGATCCGACGCACAAGCCGAGGATCTGTGGACACGCTTGCTCGACCCAGCCAGCCATGAGCGCGAGTTCGCACGGTACGGGGCCCAACATGTACACTGCCACCACCTCCCTCACCCCCTCCTTCTCCCAAGGGAGAGGAGGGGAAGAGGAGGGTGGAGTAGGGAGGGGGAATGGAGGTGGTGGTGGTGTACACGTTCGGGACTCCCGCACATAGCTTCTGGGTAACACCCCTGAGAGCTGTCCGAGGAGCACCAGGGCCTTCGGGGGCATCCGAAAATCGGTGTATAACATCCGAGGATCTCCGAGATTCCCGTGAACAATTCCATCATGGGAGCCTTGTATACCCTCGAAATTCCGTCTTCAGGGTTCACTAGCGTCGATAAGCGTCTGGTAACCCGTCGATTAGCGCCGACCTAGCGTCGATTAGCGTCGATTTAGCGTTGATTGGCGTCGATGAGTGTCGATCAGCGTCGATGCGCAACAGCCAACAAGATGGGTATGGGAGGTTCCCAATGAGTTGCCGCAGAAGCTTCCAGAGCCTTCGACGCCCGCCCCGATCAGCAGTTGCGCCCCCTCCCGCGAGACCTGAAAGCTGCCACGGGACCCGCAGGAGTTCCGCCGGGCAGAGCTTCACCACTCGTGTTGCAAGCACCAGAAGTCGCCACCTGGCTCGTCCACGCAATATGCCAGTCCGGGGGGGGGGTTCTTCGCGGGGCAGGCACAAAAGCACGGAACTCCGGAGATCCCCCCAGAGCCCTCGAACGCCATCTTGCGGGGCAAAGATTGCCCCCCAGACCCGCCTTGGCGTGTGCGTTTTGACAACAGGATTTGGCGGCGGAGCCCGCCGTGGCAACGAGAAGCAGCTTCCCAGAGGCTCAAGCAGAGGGTGACGAACACAGGCAAACGCGAGAGCGATCCTTGACCCTCGATCCTGCCGAAATTCTCCAAACAAGGAAAAGGAGCTCGATCCTCGAGCCACGACCCTCCATCCTGATCCGCCTCGATCCTCGCACCCCCCTGCAGCCTCGATTTCCTCGACTCGCCTCGATCCTCGATCCTCAATCCTGCCGATGCCCGCCATTCAACCGCAAAAAACACCTTGGTTGGACAAATAGGCACAGGCACACATAACGTCGATGTCCAAGACAACATGGGAAATGGGAAGCGAAGGGGAAGACGAAACTCCAGAGCATGTGGAGACATATTGGGAATCTCGATGAGTGTGTATATACATGAATATATACACCTATATATAGATGATCCTGCTTCCCTCAGCCCCTTTCATCACGCAGGCCTTGACCGCCTTGAGGCAAGGCGCGCTGTGCGGCCTCGCTCCCCAAGCCTGCCTCGAGCCTTGTATGTATGTGTGAATGTATGCATGCATGTATGCGTTTGTGTATGCATGTTTGTGTGTATGTATGCATGCATGCATGCCTGGATTTCGGTGTGCACGTATGTATATGTATGTATATATATATAGATATGCGCATATATATATATACACCTCTCGGCATGACTAGTTGTGTATGTATACATCGATACATGCATGCATGTATGTGTGTATGCATGCATACAGGTATGCACACACGCATGCATGCATGTAGGTTTGTATGTACGTATGTGTGCATGTATGTGTGTATGTATGTATGTATGTATGTATGTATGTATGCATGCATGCATGTATGTATGTATGTACGTATGTGTGTATGCATGTGTGCATGTATGTATGCATGCATGCACGCATGTATGTTTGTATGCACGCATGGGCATGCATGTATGCACGTATGTATGTATGTATGCATGCATGCATGCATGTACGTGCGTACGTACGTATGTATGTATGTGTGCATGTATGTATGTATGTATGTATGTATGTATGTATGTATGTATGTATGTATGTACGTATGCACTTATGTATGTGTGTATACGTATGCATAAAAGGTGCGTGCACGTACGCATGCATGTATGTATGTGTGCATGTATGCATGCATGCATGCATGTATCTATGTATGCTTGTATGTATGCATGTATGCATGCATGCATATATGCATGTATGTATGCATGTATGTGTGTATGCATGTATGCATGTATGTATGTCTGTATGTCTGTATGTCTGTATGTCTGTATGTATGTATGCTTGTATGATTGTATGCTTGTATGCTTGTATGTATGTATGTATGTATGTATGTATGTATGCATGCATGCATGCATGCATGTATGTATGTATGTATGTATGTATGTATGTATGTATGTATGTATATGTGTATGTGTATGTGTATGTGTATGTGTATGTGTATGTGTATGTGTATGTGTATGTGTATGTGTATGTGTATGTGTATGTGTATGTGTATGTGTATGTGTATGTGTATGTGTATGTGTATGTGTATGTGTATGTGTATGTGTATGTGTATGTGTATGTGTATGTGTATGTGTATGTGTATGTGTATGTGTATGTGTATGTGTATGTGTATGTGTATGTGTATGTGTATGTGTATGTGTATGTGTATGTGTATGTGTATGTGTATGTGTATGTGTATGTGTATGTGTATGTGTATGTGTATGTATGTATGTGTATGTATGTAAGTATGTATGTATGTATGTATGTATGTATGTATGTAGGTATGCTCCCGGGACTGCCCGGGCCCGCTCCCAAACACGCCACGACACGCCAAGAGGGCCCAAAAGATTGCCAAGACAGCCCAAAGAGGCCCCGGACACGCCGAAGATGGCCTCAGGACTGCCGACGACGCCGCCAAAACGCCCGAGCGCCTCCAGAGTCCTCTCCAAAGGGCTCCAGAAGCCGAATCTCATTAATTTTCCGGTAAATTTTGAAGCATATTCGCGCCCTCGCATGTTCCGCCTCCCTACGGTCCCAGACGGCGTCAGAGGCCTTTCAGATCGCTCCAAGACGGCCGAAGAGGCTCGCAAAAAAGCCCAGAGACGGCCCAGGAGGCTCCCCCGATAATTCAAGAGAGCCTCGAAAGCGCTCCAAGAGAGCCCCAAGAGCGACCCAAGAGGGCCCGAATAGCGCGACATTTCAAGGTCTCCGGCCTGAGAGGCTCCTAGGACGCCCCTGGAAGCCATCAAGAGGCTCCCAAGAAGCCCCGTGAGGCTCCCCAGAGGCCCCCTGGAAGCCCCAATAGGCCCCCAAGGGGCCCCCAGGGAAGCCCTCTGCGGGCCCCCAAGACACCTCGGTAAATCGTATTTCCCACAGCTTTCCGGCAACATGATTCCTTGGGCTTCCGCCCACCGCCCCAACCATGTTTCCAATAGGCTTGCCGACAAGGCCAAAAGGGGCCCCTCGGTAAGCCCCCAGAGGCCCCCCTCTTAACAGAGCCTAGCAAATTTTGCTCCCAGAAAGCTTCCGGGAATCTGATTCTCGGGTTGCCGCCCTTTGCCCAAACCATGTTCCCTAAACGCTTGCCATGAAAAAAAACGAGAGTCCCAAGCAGCGCTACCTGCCGCCACGCTCGGAAACGTGTCAGGCCCCGAATCTTCGGAGGCGCCCAACGACACCCCAACAAATCATGTTCCCTTGAAGCCTTCCGGGAACATGATTCCTCAGGCTTCCGCCCCCAGCCCCAACCATGCTTCCCAAAATGCTTGCCGGGCAGCCCCCCAATGGCCCTCATACACGCTATCATGTTACCATAAAGCTCTCCGATAACATGATTCCTCAGGCTTCGGCTCCCCGCACGCAACATCTGTCCCAAAGCGCCTGTCAAGCAGGACTCGAATGGGCCCTCGAGTACTTTCCTAGAAGCCCCACAAGATGAGGATGATGACGATGATGATGACGAAGGTGACGATGATGATGATGGTGATGGTGATCTTGATGGTCGTGATGACGATGTTGATGACGATGATGAAGACGATGGCGATGAGGATGGCGATGTTGACGATAACGAGGATCCTAGCTAGAATTTGAGCGCGCGCGAAACGCGCGCGATGGTTTAGTATAGCTATATATAAATATGTATATATATCGACATGGCTAGTTATGCATGTACGTATGCATGGATGCATGCATGGATGTATGCATGCATGCATGCATATATGCAGTTCTGTAAATGTGTCTGTACTCATGCATGTGTGCATGCATGCATGTATGTACGCATGCATGCATTTGCATGCATGTATATATACATACACATGTATGTCTGTAGGCATGTATTCATGCATGTATGTGTATACGCATGCATGTATGCATACAGGTCCGTGTGTGTCTGTATGATTGTGCGTGTTGGCATGTATTTAGGCATGCATGTATGGATGCATGCATGTGTGTATGGATATGTATGTGTGAATGTATGTTTGTACGTGCGTATGTGTGTACGTATGTATGTAGGTAGTTAGGTGGGTACGTACGTACGTACGTACACACGTGCGAGGGTATCTATATATATGTACGGATGCATGGGTGTATGCATGCATGTATGTATGTATGTACGTAGGCATGCATGCATGTATGCTGCTTCCCCAGGTCCCTATGGTCATGCGGGTCCTGTCCGCCATGTGGCAGGGCGCGCTGTGCGGCCTCGATGTCCGATCTGCCTCGATCCTCGAGCCTGCTTGAAGCCTCGATATCCTCGACACGCCTGGATTCTCGATCCTCGATTCTCAATCCTCGTTTCTTGACCCTGCCAATGTCTTCTGGCGACCGGAACAAAACACTCAGGAGGGACACATAGGCACAGACACTTAAACGCCGATCCCCCAGGACAGCATGGGAAGCTATGATAAGTGGATGGCGAAAAGCAGTAATCCAGAAAACATATGGAACACATCGGGAATCCTCATGTGTCTGTGTATGCATCTGGTGATAGTTCTCTTATTCATTGTTTTACCGATCGGCGCGGGTCTTGGCTCCCCACCCATGGAGTGGATCTTGGCAGTTTTTGGCGCGTGTTCCGAGCAGGAGGAGTCTCCCCCGCAGGACGCACCGCTGCAAGCAGTCGCACCAAGCAGAGGACCAGAGCCAGAACCCCCCCCCCTCCCCCCCCCTTCCTGCCCAGCGCCGAAGCTTCGAACAGGAACACCACCTTCACCTGCCTCTGCCTCCCCGGGCCCCCTCGGAGCACGCAGGCCCTGACCGCCATGTGGCAGGGCGCGCTGTGCGGCCTCCTCGCCCTGGCCGCCTGCTTCGCCGCGGGGCGCTGGGTGCTCGGGCGCCTCTTCGGCTTCGTGGCCAACTCGGGCAGCCCGGCGGCGCTCCGCTGCCTCTCCTTCTTCGTCATCTTCGGCGCCGTCTTCGCCTTCCAGGCCACCCTCGGCAGGGCTCGCTCCTCGCTTCTCCCGGTCGGCTCTCAGAGGCAAGGGGGCGCCCTCGAGGGCGCGAAGTTCTTCGCGCTTCGCGGTTCGGCTCCGATTCCTCCTCTTCCTCCTCTTCTCCCCTGGGAGGCGGCGCGAGAGCGCGAAGTTATTCGCGCTTCGCGCTTCGCGCTTGCAGAGCGCGAAGCGCGAAGCTGGGAGCCCTTGCAGAGGAAGCCAAACAGGTACCCATACCGATACCCTTCCCTCGTTTACGCCTTGTTGGGCCTCCTTGGGGGCTCTCGTCGCCACCGCCGGATACGCGTCGAAACTCTGTTCAGAGCGCACCCCAGGAGAGGTCCGGGGAGTAGCGGTATCGGTGCCCTTTGGTTTCCCCAGGTTCGATTCTGTCCGAGTTTGCAAGCTTCCGATTCCGATTCGATTCGACTTCGAGTTCTCCCATTTGGATGCCGATGTCTAAGCTCTAGGCCTTCCCGGCCTGCCGGTTCCCGCTGGTTCGACTCCTCCCGACTTGGCTGCCGATGTCCGCCGCTCCGACCCGTTTCGCTCGCCGATCCGACTCATCGATTCGATGCTGGGCTCTCTTGCCGTGGTTCGGATTCACACGAGCGACGGGAGAGAACGGGTTCGACTGTCATCGTTCGCGCGCAGGCTTCCCGCGCGAGATCGCGTGTCGGCGCCATCTGTTCCATGCGGTGTGCCACGCTGTCGGCCGCGTAGGGCCGCGGCGTCAGGTCGCTGTGCCTTCTCCTGCACGAGACGTTGCTCCCCGTAGCAAATCATGGGAGCTGTGTATTCCGTCTTCAGAGTGCACTGGCGTCGATTCGTGTCTGGTAATCGATGAGACAGCGCCGATTTAGCGCTCATGGGCGTCAACCGGCGTCGATGTAGCATCGATTCGCGTCGATCAGCGTCGATGCGCAATAGCCAGCAAGATGGTATGGGAGGCTCCCATGAGTTGCCACCGAAGTTGCTGTTCGGCGCCTACCTGGGCGCGTGCCGAAATGCCGACCCATCCCGCTGAGGTCGCCGTGCTGCGGTCGGCGTGTGTCGGGTGGACGCGGCGGCGTCGGTCCGACTTGTGGCTGATGGGCTTGTTTTCCACCACCACCACCATGAGTTTGAGGGGGGAAGGAGGTGGAGGATGATGAGGAGGAGGAGGAGGAGGAGGAGGAGGAGGAGGAGGAGGAGGAGGAGGAGGAGGAGGAGGAGGAGGAGGACCCCCTCCCCCGCCTACTTGTGGTGGTGGCGGTGGAAGGCAAGCCCACCAAGGGCGGCGACCGTTTAGACTGTCATGTGATCGCCAAAGACGCGAGGGTGGCAGCGGACATCCCGACCAAAAAGGGAAGGTCCCGAAGTTGCCCAGCCAGCACAGGGCTGGCCAGTAGTTCGGTCAGTTTCCTGACAAATGGCGTTCTCGATCTCTCACGACGAAAGGTTCGGTTATTTTCAGCCTCTGGGGGCCCTGCGCCCGGGGCCGTGAAAGACTTGTGCGGGAAGACAGGCCGGCCCCCAGACCTCTGGGGAGCCACGTGGGGGGGATAAGACGTCGGATGCTCGGGTCCGAGGCTGGAGTTCATCCCTGCCCACCGCATGGGAAACTGATGCGGGCACTGGGCCCCGAATCGATGTTCGTATCCAGCGGTGGATACGGATGAGCCTCGCACATTCCCCAGACGTTGCTTGCACTTAGCTCGGCATCGCTCGGACATGTGCATTTTTCCTTCGGCGAGGACCATCGAGGAGCATCCTTGATCATTTCGGGGAAAAAACCACGCACGAAACCGAAAAAAACACAGGGAATGGACGTCCGAGCGATGGCCAGTTAGGGGTTCTAGGGCTCCCTGCTTCTCTTACACATAAGTAATTGGATGCGTCTGCCAGGGTCTCGCCCGGTGGTCGCCCGTGGGTGCGTCGTGCGCGCCCCGTGCGCTGGCCGTGTCCGCCGAGGCTTCGCCCGGCTCGGCGGCGAGCGAAGGGGGAAAGCGGGAAGGAGGAGGCCTTCTCAGGAGGCGGCGGGGCCTCGCAGAAGTCCTCGCGCCCTCTGAGAAGGCTTCGGTGTCTTCGGGGAAGGCCGAGGCAACTTTTCACAGAGCCCTGGGGGGAGCTCCGAGCCCTCTGAGGAGGCTTCGGTGTCTTCGGGGAAGGCCGAGGCAACTTTTCACAGAGCCCTGGGGGGAGCTCCGAGCCCTCTGAGAAGGCTTCGGCGTCTTCGGGGAAGGCCGAGGCAACTTTTCACAGAGCCCTGGGGGGAGCTCCGAGCCCTCTGAGAAGGCTTCGGCGTCTTCGGGGAAGGCCGAGGCAGCATTTCACAGAGCCCTGGGGGGAGGCTCCGAGCCCTCTGAGAAGGCTTCGGTGTCTTCGGGGACGGCCGAGGCAACTTTTCACAGAGCCCTGGGGGGAGCTCCGAGCCCTCTGAGAAGGCTTCGGAGTCTTCGGGGAAGGCCGAGGCAACCTTCCACAGAGCCCCGGGGGGAGCTCCGAGCCTTCTGAGAAGGCCTTCTCCTTCTTCACCACCCACCAAACCACCCCAACCCAACCCGAAGGCCCAAATTTATCCTCGATTTCCAGTGGGGGGGGGGTCGGGGAACATTGAAAAAAACACATGGAATCCGTACCCCCCCCCAACCCGAAATTCGGGTCAAATTCGGGTCTTCGGGTTGGGTTGGGGTGGTTTGGTAGGTAGTCACTTCTCGCTTCTCCCCTGGGCTCGCCGCCGATCGGCGGGCGCCTCGTGGGCGCCCCGTGCGCCGGCTCTCGGGCCGCCGAGGTCTCGCTGCTTGGTGGGCGCCCGTGGGCGCCGCGTGTTGGCGCTCCGTGCGCTGGGGCTGGGTCCGCCGACGTTCCGCCCGGTGGGCGCACGCGGGCGCCTCGTGGAGTGCGCTGTTCTAGGCCTCCTAGATGGGGTCCGAGCAGATGGGGTCGGAGGATCGCGCCGCATCGCCGATGCATCGACGATGCGGCTCGATGCGGAGCCCGATTTTCTCCACGCCGACGCCGCCGATACATCGCTGTCGTCGACGCCTCATCGCCGGTGCATCGGCGATGCATCGCCGATGCATCGCCGATGTATCGCCGATGTATCGGCGATGCGGCGCGGTCCTCCGACCCCATCTACTCCGACCCCATCCAGGAGGCCTCTAGCTGTAGATCACGCTGCAGTGGGTCCGCGTCGAGCCGACTGGCGGCGACCCCGCGGGCAGCGTTCCACTGTGAACGACTGCGGCGACCCAGGGTGGGTCGATGCCGAGCGATCTGACGTTTCGGAAACGGCGGGTCGTTCAGGGTAGAGCGGTCCCCGCGGCGTCAGAAACCAAAGCTGGCGCCGGCACGACACGAACCTGCCGCACGTAGCCTGAAGCACATAGTTTGCGCCACATATACCTTGCCCTACAAGAACTTGGGCATTTTCCCTGCAGAGGCTGGACTTCTCCTTTTCCCGTCGCTGTTTGTTTGTCCCACATGTTTTCTGCACGACCGTTCATTCAAAATATCATTCCAGGCCATGCCAGCCAACCCCAGTAACGACGTCCCCCAACGTCCCTGACAAACATTTTTTTGCCTGCACACGCGTTGATATGAGACGTGTTTTTGAACGAGTCCCTTGCAGACCATACCATCGTGGCGCGCGCATGCCACAATCATTCAAAGCCAGTGGGCGCCAAGTTGTTTCAAGACGTACTGATTTATTTCAACCAGTTTAACCAGTGCGGACCACAACTGTGAGTTATTGCACTGTGGAGGTAAGTCATGTGCTGTAAGCTATGCGACTGAAGCCATCTTGCTATCTTGTGTAAGCTATGCGGTGCGAGCTGACGGGCGTGAGCTGTGGTGCGTACGCTATGCGACACACAAGCTCGGTGTTGGAACATGTGTGGTGTTGGCTATGTGGGGTGTCTGTATTCCATTCGGTGGGAGCTGTGCTGTGGGCGCCGATGCGCAGTGCAAGATGCCTGGCGCAAGCCGTGTCGCGTGATGGGAGCCGTGCGCCTCAAGCTGCGTGCGGCGAGCGCCCCGCGGCGCCCGCGGGGTGCCCACGAGCTGCCCACGAGCTGCCCACGGCGTGCCCACCGCGGCGTCACCTCGCGAAGCCCACCCCCGGCGCACGAGGCGCCCACGCGGCGCCCACGAGCGGGCACGCCGCCAGCGCGGCGAATCCCCGCGGCACCCTCCTCCTCCTCCTCCTCCTCCTCCTCCTCCTCCTCCTCCTCCTCCTCCTCCTCCCCCTCCTCCTCCCTCCTCCCTCCTCCCTCCTCCCCTCCTCCTCCTCCTCCTCCTCCTCCGGGGCACCCGCGCGGCGCCCACCGGCGGGCACGGGCGCCCGCTCGGCGAGCCTTCGGGAGACCCATCCACTGCACCTCGGCATCGCTCGGACGTGTGCGTGTTTCTTTCGGCGAGGACCCTCGAGGAGCAGCCTTGATCATTTGGCGAAAAAGCCACGCACGGAAGCAACAGAAGGCACAGGGAATGGACGTCCGAGCGATGGCCAGTGCACGGGGTGCCCACGCCGCCAAGGGAGCCCCCTCCGGCTCCTCCCGCTGGTGGTCCCTGGTGGTGGTGCCGCTGCTCCTCGCCCCCCGTTTCGCCCGAGCCGAGCGGTGGCCAGGGCCTGCGTAATTACAGGCACCGCCCCCGGGCCCAGGAGGGGCGCCGGGCCTGGGCCAGTGGACATATGCACAGATCCCATCGCCCTGCCGCCAGCTGCCACCGAGCCTTCCGTCCGACCTGGGCGACGGCGACGACGCCGCCGACGACAGCACCGTCGGCGAGGGCGGCGGCGGCGGCGGCCACGGCGACGGCGGCGGCGACGACGGCGGCGGCGACGACGGCGGCGGCGGCGACGACGGCGGGCAGCGGCCGCCGCGGCGGCGGCGCAGTCCCTCGGCCTGCCGGGCACGGTGGGCGCCTTCCTGGCGGGGGTGCTGCTGTCGGAGACCGCCTACCGGCAGACGGCGCCCGCCGCCGCTCCGCCGCCCCTCGGGCCGCGCGCCGCCGTCGTGCGTCGGAGCTCTCAGGAGGGAAAGAAACACACAGACACAATTAATCGTCGATTCCCTAGAAAATATGGGAAAATATGGGAAGTGGGGGGGAAGACAGAAACCCAGAAAATATAGGAAAATATGGGGCATTTTTTTATTTGTGTGTCCTGGGGCCCCTTCAAGCTCGGAGGTCGGTCGATTACAGATCTCGGTCGCCCCAAAGCTGATCTAGGAGCCGGATCTGCGAGAGGCGGCATAATCAAGCGTGCTCTCCTGGCGTTCCCCGCGGAGTTCGCGGATCCGCGCCGTGCCCCACCGGCTCATCAGAGTTTCCGCGCATAGCCTTTCACATGTGTCATCTCATTGGGTTGTTCGGTCTTGATGTGGAAAATCCATGTCAAGAGCCTCCTATTGTACGGTGGCGCGTTAGTCCTATAATCTTGGAAGTTTGGAAACCTCCAGGTTAAGTTATGGCAGAACTTAAACGTGCATAATGTACATTTATAAACTTCGCGGATCCCCTCAGGGCGGAATTGTTATTCTGATAGATGGTCAATGGACAGTTTGAACATGGAATTTCCGCGTTGACGCCATAGCAGAGGATTTCCATGTGTCTTCCGAAGACGTCTCACGCGAAACGGCAATTCGTCCAAGAGCGACGTCCAGCATAAGTAAACATCATCTGTTTAAATATTGCGTGTTAAATTGTTGGAACTCCCTTGTGCTTTGATCTGCGCGAGGGGTGCGTCCCAGAGAGAGAGAGAGAGAGAAAGCGAGAGCAACACTAAAGAAAGAACGAGAGCGATTTTGATGATCTATCATCACACGTACCCCTCCGAGGGAGTAGAGCTCCGAGGCGATTCATTGAAGCCGTCCAGTCCCGTCCGCGATGGTTGGCCGTTTCGCTCGGGACATCCTCAACATTATGAGCACCGCACTCACCTCTCACGCGGATCGCGACGTCACGGTCCAAAAACACAGTGGACTTTCAACAGTTCAGCACATGTTTGAAGCACACAATTGTTTTCATTGATGTTGAATGTCGCTCTTAGACAAGTTGCCGTTTCGCGCTAGACATCCTGAAACACTGAAGCCCGACGTATTCAACTATGTCTTCATATACTTACTAAGTATTTGTTCGCTTGAGACATCCTCCAACAATGGGCTCCGAAGCTTCGTTAAACTGCATTCGCAAGGTGTGGAGCACCCTCTGGCGCCACACACACACATCGCAAGTTGTTGCAACTTCAACTGCGTTCGACTTCGATCCCGCTGTTGTACCTCCTTCCCAACAGCCCCCCTGGTAATCCTCATTGTCCACCTCTCCGTTTTCCTTTGCTTCTCCATCTTTGTCTTCCTCCTGCTCAGATCCGACTTCATGCTATGATTCATGCAAGTGTCCAGCGATTCTTACGTGCTGCAGTTCTTTTTTGTATGAGCCATGGTACGCATTTGGCACCTGTATTTATACACGAGAGAGAGAGAGAGAGAGAGAGAGAGAGAGCGTGAGAGAGAAAGGGAGTGGGTAACGCAAATTTTGATCATGCTGATATCATGGTATGTTCGGCTTGCCATTTCGTTGCCGTAATGGGAGCTCCTTGTGTGCACGACCCGCTTTCGATACCCACCTCGCGCACGGTACGCGCAGCTTGTGTGTTTCAAAGTCTGCCCTTGTCGACTTTCGGCGAGATCACATACTTCGCGTGTGACCTTGATGTTTTTGCGTTCGGCTGCGCAGCAGCTTGTCCTCGTTCGCCTCCCGCCCATGGCAAGGCATCTCTTCGGGCTCCGCCGCCGCAGGCCGCCGCAGCGAGCGAAGACCGCTCCGACGGAGCCCTCGTCCAGCAGAAGCCGCTCCCGCGTGACCGCTCCGGCAGACCGCCTGGGCCCGCCAGCCCGACCCGCTCGCCTGGGTCCGCCCGCCCAGAGTGGTGCTCACGTGCAGTTCGGCGCCCGCACGGCCTGCGGAGGCGTTGGACGGACCACTTAGCACCACCCGTGAGGGGCTCCGGCCCCGCCGCCGGCCTCCCCAGAAGTGCAGTGTTTCCCCCGGGGCCGTAGGTGACCCGAGGAGGAGGAGGAGGAGGAGGGGGGAGGAGGAGGAGGAGGAGGAGGAGGAGGAGGAGGAGGGTGAGGAGGAAGGAGGAGAAAGCGGAGGAGGAGGAGGAGGAGAAAGGAGGAGGAGGAGGAGGAGGAGGAGGAGGGGGAGGAGGAGGGGGGGGAGGAGGAGGAGGAGGAGGAGGGAGGAGGAGGAGGAGGAGGAGGAGGGAGGAGGAGGAGGAGGAGGAGGAGGGTCGCCGAAGCCCTTCGGAAAAAAAACCCTCGGCCCAGAAGGCGCTCCCCGCGCGCGCGTCGTGAGCGGCAGCGACGATCGCTCGCCCGCCCAGCCCCAGCCCGGCCCAGTGAGCCAGCATTTGGGCGAGCGGGCTGCCCGGGCGCGCGGGCGCCCGCCCTGGCCGGGGGGTGCCTCTCGAGGCACGCCCGGCCCTGGCGGCAAGTCGGGCCAGTCCCTTTTTTACAGGAGGAGTGTGCAAACATAGAAACACAAATCATCAGGGGACGATGTTTAGAGCATCTTGGGGCTATATTTGGGGATCTTCCTGCTTATTTGATGTTTTTCGTCCAAGATCCGCCTGTAGGGGGACATGCCCGACCAAACCCTGGCGACTAAGGGCGCCCCGGGAGACTCACGAGGCAACAAAAGCGGCGGTTATAATCAAGGGAGGAAGAACTACCCGGACCAGACAATTGGCGTTTACGAAACTCGGGCCGAACGAAAGGGGGGGATAGGGAAAGGGGGGTTACGAGATCTGCTGCATGCAGCTGGTTTCGGCCCCGTCGTCGGGCCCATTCCTCGATACATTGGCGTTTCCCAGCGCCGGGAGGCGCTGGGAAAATCGGCTGCGTGGGCTGATTCTCTACCCTACCCTTTGCTATCCCCCCCTTTCGTTCCCCCCGATAAATGGCCCTGGGCGTTTACTAAACAACCCTGCCCTGTTCGAATATTCTTTGGGCGCGTTTAATTTGCGGCTTCGCGTGTCTGGGTGGTTATTATGAAGGTGGGTTTTTTTGATTTCTATATATATATATATATATATATATATATAAGCTGTATGGTTATGCCAGGTTGTGGTTTGCGATCGGCGCCGTTGGGGCTTGGGGGGGTGGGCAAGACATTGACCTCGTCGGGCCTCCTCGGGGCGCGGCGGAGGGCTCTGTGGAGGTCCTCGCCCGCCCTCCAGGGTGCCCCCCCCAGGGTGCTGGTTGCCAACCACACCCTTGGCAATCCACACCCGTCGGAGTCGCCAAGCAGGGGCGCGGGGCGTTCATGCCTGAGAAGCTCGGTCGTCTCCCCAACCACTGCCGTTGAGTCAGCTGCTGCCCTGCGGAATGCACAAATTGTACTGATGGCGCGCTGCCGTTGGCAGCCCGTCGGCGTGTTCCTCCACGGTTTTTGGTGAACAGGCTTTTTTGGCGTTTTTCTTCAACAGCGGCACACCGACGGATTCCCCACGCCGGCGTGCCGTTGGAACTGCTTCTGCCCCCCGAGCTCTACACTCTAGGCGATGGTTAAGAAAATCCAAGTTTTCGGCCAGAGTCTCAATTATTCTTAACTTTCCCATGTAAATCCTACGATTTTGATAGAAATTCTGGGTTTTTCTTCAATTTCTGAGACTATGAATTTCTTAACCCATGATTTCTTAAGCATTTCGCATGGTGTACTCCTCTCGCTCTCCCCCCCCCTCTCTCTCTGCCCCCTCGCTCCGTCCGCCTGGGCCGCAGAGGTGGACGCGGCCATCTCGCCCGTGCGGGAGGACGCGCCCCGGCGCGCGGCGCCTCCGCGCGCCGCCCACTGCCGCTGCTGTTGCTTCCTCGGGGGCGGGCCCTTCTCCTCCTCCTCCTCGTCCTCCTCCTCCTCCTCCTCCTTCTCCTCCTCCTCCTCCTCCTCCTCCCTTTCCTCCTCCTCCTCCTCCTCCTCCTCCTCCTCCTCTTCCTCCTCCTCCTCCTCCTCCTCCTCCAGCCGCTGCAGCGGCCCAGACCACCCCCTTTTCCCGCGGCACTTCAGTACACTTCCTAACAAAGTCAGGTGTTTCAGCGGCGTGGCTTCTCCCTCGAGGGGCTCTCCTCGCCCGTGAGAGAGGGGGTCGGGCCCCTCGCGCGAGGCGCTGGCTCCTCGCCGTGAGCGCCTTCGCCTTCCTGCAGCTGGGCGTGATTGGCGCCCTGGCGATGGAGAGGACCCGCCCCCACGCTGAAGATGGCAACACTTTCACACTTCGGACTTGCGTTTATAATCCCATGTTCCTGACGGGGGCTACGCGGGCATCGGAGGTCTCTGACGAATTCAAGAATATTGGAGCTATCATGCTGCCAGGTACCTCCCGTCGCCAGACAGAGGACACACACTCACTTTTCCTTCGTCCTTATCATTGGGAACTGAGTTTCGGGTGGACGAGGGCCTCCAACAAGAGTTGCGGGGTGTCGATCTTCCTCCACCAGAGGCGCTTCCCGAGGAACTTCATCCGTAAGATTTTCACGCCGCCCAGTTTCTTAAGTGGACGTGGCGGAGCAGTACGTTTAAAATCACAGACCTCGGACGTTCTCTTCATGGTGCTCTACTTCCCCACTCTTCCGTCACTCCGCGGCGGACGTACACAGTATCGGAACATCGTGCTGGGACTTTGCAACTGGGCGAAGTCGGTCATCAACGGAGTGGGCTCCAGGTGCACACCGTTTGTCGGCATCGATTTGAATGACCAACTGGGCTTCTGCGCAGACGACACGCTAGACGGCGAGTGCGTCACGGCCCCACGGGACACCATTACACACGGTGCTGACTGGGACTGGGAACGGGAAGCCGACGCACACGTGGGCCCTTGTGGTGCTGAGTTGGAGCACTTCGCTGGCAAGCATTGGCACCAGGTTCTGAGGGACACGGCGTTGAGCGCGATCAACACGCACTACCCAGCGGGGCCAACGTTTCACGGGCCACAGGGTCACACGTCGCGGATAGACTTTATCCGCGCTCCGACGGGATTGCTTCCTCACGTCCGTGTCTGCCGTGTCCTTCGACCCGCGGGGAGGCGGCTCCAGCCCGTGAATACCCTGGACGACAGGGACCACCGCCCCGTCTTCATGGAATGCAGCTACCGCTTCGAGGCCAGTTCAACCCCGCGGCAGTGCTGGGACTTCGATGCCATGATGCGCATCCTGCGAGGCGGGGAGGAGTGCACCTCAGCGGTGGAACGGGTCCACGAAGCCATTCTGACCATCCCTGAAGATGAATGGGTACGGCTTTGCTCACGGCCGACGACGGACGAGCTGTGGAACTCTATTTCGGTACTGCTCAGGGAGGCGGCGCTGACCGAGTTTTTACGCCCTTCACCAGCGGCGGCTGAGAAGTCGGTCCTGGAGAGGCAGCGTTCGGAGGTCTTGGCACGTCGCCGTCGGTTGCGTGAACTCCATATTGGTCGAGACTCGGAGGCACGTGCGGACGTCGAACTGGATTTGGCGAGGATCACGTTCAGGCTCAGGCAGCTGTCACGCCAGATTACCAAGGAACGCAACTCCCTGCTGGTCGGTGAGCTCAACTCCGCCTGGAGGGAGCACGACCACTTCGCCGTGCAGACTCTGCTTCGGCGCCTGGCCCGCAAGGGCCGAGGGCCCCGACATCGGAAGTACTTCAAGGCACGCGAGGAGAACTGCGAACCACAGGACATCGCCGACTTCTTACGCTTGCCCGCTCAGCAGGGCGGACTCTCGGCGGTGGACTGCGACCTTCAGGCGGAGCTGACGGAGCGCTTCGACCGCACCTTCGAGGGGGACGAGGCTCACCGCGCGGATCAGCAGCGCTACGACACGGTGCAGATGGTAGATTTAGAGGCGGCAGATCAGGACCTTTCGGGCGTCATCAGGGCGCTTCGCAGGGCACCGAAGAGACGAGCTACGCCCGCGTGGAGTATGCCGTCGGAGCTCTGGCTGATCCTGATCGACCCCGACCAGTGGCACAAGTTCAAACGTGGTGGAGTGGGTTCGCGCCCTACCCCTGCGACGGCACAGGCCTTCAGGGAGAGAATGCTCGACATCATCGGATCCTTTCGTCGGACGTCCTCCACCCCACTGGTCTTCGACATTTCTCACATCGTGGGCCTGGACAAGGGCAACGGCAAGCCAGGACCGCTCGGACAACGTTGGATACATCTCTTCTGCCCGATGGGCAAGGCGTGGAACGCCCATCTTTGGAATCGGGCTCGTCGCCACCGTGATCCACTTCCGTATTTTTGTCACGGCTTTGCTCGGCGCCGCCGGCGTGAAGACGCCATCGCGGTGCAGGCCTGCTTGAGCTGGAGGCTTCAGAAGTTATCGCTATCACACGCCATCATCAATGAAGATGCCACGAACGCTTTCGCCAGTACGACACGAGAGACGATCTTGAATTGCCTCGAGTCCCTCTACCTCCCCGAGGACGTTAGGTTCCAGCACTCTCGCACGATGCAGACGGCGATGCAGATCATGGGACCCGACAGGCCCATCTCCCTCAGGCCTACCTCTGGAGAGCTCATGGGACACCCTAATCCTGCTAGAGGCTTTCCGTATTTCTATCTTCAGGGCTTGGAGGCTTTTCTGAGCTGGAGGGCGGGGGCGAGCTCGTACACGTATTCACAGGCGGAGGAGGTGGACGGCACACGCACGGACACGGGCATCACACTGTACGCCGACGATATCACGAAGACGGTGATCCCTGGAAGAGGACCTGAACCCTATGGAGGAGGAGGGGAGGCACGTCACCTTACCGCACTGGCACAGGTTAGCAGCAGTAAGTTAGCATCCTCCCTGGACGGCATCGGCGTGGGGCTCAACGAGGGCAAGAGAGTCACACTTGCTAGGCTTTTTGGGAAAGGCTGCATCGCCCAACGCCGCCTCCTGCATGCAGGCACTCTGCGTCTCTCTGGGCAGTTTGGCAGATTTATGCGCATCCTCGGCGGTTGGCTGACGGTGCAGGGATCGTTGCAGATTGAGAAAGGAAAAAGATTCCAGGCTGGACGGACTGGCCTCGGCATCATCTCCCACTTTCTTGTCCACGAGGCTGCCCGCGGCATCAAGCGCATGGCCATCCTTTCGTATGTGCAAGGTGCTCTCTTGTCGGGGATGGAGGGGAGGGTCCCAGATAAAAGTTTCACGGTCGAGGGTGACAAGATCATGATGAGGGCGATGCGTAGGGGTCTCGGGGTCAAGGGCACTGAGGACCACGACGGGGTGCGCTGGAGGTGGAGCTCTCATAGGGTATGGGCCTACTGGCAGATCCTTCCTTTGGCAGACGAACTGCGACTTCGGAGGCTACGCTGGTATCAGTCTTGGATTAAATACCCTAGCGCTCACAGGCAGGTTCGGGCATGCATACTAGGCACGATCAATGACATACCTAGCATGAACGACGACTGGACGATCCACGACAAGGCTAACCCCTGGGCCCGTCAGGTACTTGAGGACCTCCAGTTTGCCAGAAGCCAGTCTGAGGAGTTCGCCGATTTAATTCCAGAAGATTTTCCTCTCTTGGGTCTATTTTACACTAAGGAGTTCGACGACTGGGCCTCGATTGACCTCACAGTTATCAGGGCCACCTACTTTTCTAAAGCGATCGCCCCACCTAGTGGGCCCTCGGTGGCCCCGAGTTTCGTGATAAATGAGGAGGTGGAGGAGGAGGTGGACGCCCCTGGCGAGTTCGTCTGCAATCTGAAGAACTCAGAGGGGCAGCGGTGTGGCGACACTTTCACCAGCATGAAAGCTCTCTTATTGCACGCAGGCAGAGTTCACAAAGTTCGAAACGAGGCAGCACTCCTCACGGTCACGAACCAGTGTTTTCGGTGTCTCCAGGTTCTCAGCACTCGGGAGAATGCTCAGCGACATGTTATGAGATCTTATGCCCACAATCGCTGCGCTCTTGGACGCAGTAGCTACACAGCGGCAGAAGTTGCTCAACCTTTCTCACTCGATTGCCCCGTATGCAGCTTCACGGCTCAAGATCTCCGACAACTGCAGGTGCACATACGTACACACTGTGCCCTGGGTGCTCCTACTCTCCCTCGGCCTCGGCTTCGACCGCGGCATGTCGCAACCAGACGCGGAGTCCATGGACCTGGAGCTGCTGATCAAGAAGCACAAGCGCAAGGCAGGCGACGGCGAGGACCTCGGAGGAGCACCCTCGGGGAAAAAAAAGGCCAACCTCGGGGACGCAGCAGACGAGGCAGAAGACGGTCTTCAGCAGGTCGAGGGGGCCCTTCGGGCTCGAGACATGCAGCAGGCCATATCGATATTGCTCAAGATGGCGTGCATGCACGCGCAGCTGCTGAGGGACCTGGCGGCGTCGGAGTGGGTGTGCCTAGTCGTCCCGACGCTGAGCTTCCTGGTGGTCGCAGGGCGAGGAGCTGGCAAAATGTACGCGGAGGCGGCAGCCATCGCGGCAGCGAAGCCCCACTTGGGGCCACCACATTTGTACATAGCGCGCGGCGTGTTCAAGTCGATGGTCGATTCAGAGAAGCTACAGAAGTTGGGGGCCCAGGCGTACCAAACCCTGGTCCTTTTTTACGAGAAGTTCGTGTCGATCAGCTCGGCCGCGGAGCTAGGATTAGTGATCAGGCACTTCCGTTTGAAGAAGTGCTACAACGAGGAGTACACCCGACTGCAGTTCGCGATCGGCGGGGACATCACGGTGCAGCTGGCGGACGCTCAAGGGGGGTCGCCCGAGCGTCATCTGAGCAAGCTGGAGGTGGAGCAGTCGATCATCAAGCTAGCGCAGCTGGAGGACGCGAAGCTCAAGCTC